GATAAACATGTACGTTTTGGAAAAAAATCGAAATGTGCTAGAATTTGAAATATGCTAATTTAAGGTGAGGTCTGTTGTGACATACAGTGTATTCTGACCTCTGGACCAAAATCTACCAGCAAATGCATATGCCCGCAGGTAAGGTGAGTGAGAGCGAGCTGGAAGGAGAAGGGAAGGAAAACCAGAGATGAGAATCAGACCCACCACAGGGTTGACATGAGTGTTGTTTGAGCGGGAAGGGGGCGGCGGCAAACCTGAAAGCCTGCACTAGCCACACAGGGTCCATGAACTGCTGAATCACGCTCAGTGGTGTCGGTGTGAGTCGGAGACACGGTATCCTTTCTGAAGGGAGAGTTGTCACCCAGCATACTGCCATGTGGCTTGAACGCAAATGCAGTGGACCAGCACGTCCCAGGTTTCAAAAGAAACACAAAGTCCATATTTTTTTTTTAAAGATTTTATTTATTTATTTGACAGAGAGAGAGAGACAGTGGAGAGGGAACACAAGCAGGGGGAGTGGGAGAGGGAGAAGCAGGGAGCCCAAGGCTGGGCTCGATCCCAGGATTGTGGGATCATGACCTGGGCTGAAGGTAGACGCTTAACGACTGAGACGCCCAGATGCCCCAAATCCTATTTGAAATGTGAAATGCCCTGATTTTTAAATGTTGCCATTAATTCAATTAAAAGAAATACTGAATGGGCCACACAAGTCTTCAGGCCACCAGTTGCAATCCGGAGGCTAACGTTTCTGGTCATAACCATCCCTGACACAAGTAGTCATACCTTGGACAAAATTATTTAATCTCAGTTTTAAACCTTTAACCTGGGCAAAGCATTGTGTAGGGGCCAGAAACTTCCTACGAGATCCCTGGCAAAGTAACTAACAAACGTCTCAACGACGCCAGAAACCAGCATTCTGAAATGCGATCCGGCTTTTTAAGCATGACAGAACCCTCAACCCCTAGAGATAACGAAGAATACTAATGACAGATAATGCTAATAAGAATACTAATGACAAAAGAATGCCTCGTCAGTTTTGTGTCAGCGTATTATCTCTGAAGAGGCAGCTTCTTCCCTACTCGACAGAGATAGGCCTGGATTCAGTCAAATGCAAATAACTTGACTCAAAGGGAGAGAATAAATAGCTGAAGAAAGGTCATTACCAGCCCTGCCCACCCCCCATCTCAGCAGGGGGCCTCCTGATGCCGCTGACCCTTCCCTTACAGAAATAGGTGATTAGGTGATGCCTCTTCACAGTACAAAATTGCAAGGTATAAAAGGACCATTGAAAAATAAGCCTCCCTCCAACTCCTACCCAGCTAATTCTGGTCCCCAGAGGCAACCCCCTTTGTTACTGCATTCTTGCGTCTTCTTAAAATATATCTTCAGAAGAACTGTTGAATGCACAGCCATCGAAAAGGGAGCCCGTTTTAGAATTGCGTGTTCCTTCGGAATTTTGGACTGGGAGGGACCTACCTCTGCCCTTCATTCACGACCTCCCTTAGTATTTCTCCTGCACACCAACCTTTCTCAGGATGAGAAACATTTCCACTCAGAGGCAGCTCATTCCACTTTTAGATAGCTCTGGTAGTTTCCTAAAGATTATTTTTAAAAAATGTTGAAATCTGCCAATCTGGTGTTTCTTCCCTCACCGCTCTTTGCTTTGCCCTCAAAGGCCAGGGAAAACAGGTGGTCAAATGCCTCTCGCCTAAGAAGGAACTTAAAACATTTGACGCCCTCCTTTCTTTACCCTGTCAAATAACCCGCTTCTCCTCCCTTCCCACAGAATGTGTGGTTGCAGGGGACTCACCACCATGTTCTTCTAGAAAAGATTAAACTCTTACTTAAAATAGAAAGTTCAAAAAGAGGAAAACTGCTCATCAGAAGAGCAAAACGGTTTCCGATTTGTAGCTCGCAAAGGGAAAGAACAGGCTGTTACGAAAATTGATAGATCACATGAAATTTAGTATGGGAAACACTACTGTCTCAGTACATCCCCGCTAATACGATGTGCATGGGTGCCTTATCCAGCAATGTTTCCAGCCAAGCCGAAATGTGGGTTGTAGCTTCTCTGAAAACTTTCCAAGACACATTCTGAGATAGAATTTGGAATCCTGATGTCTCTATTTGCAAAGTTGTAGCATCAGAGTGAGGGAGAACATGGTCCGGATTTGGGCTCGAGGCTGGCTTCAGAGCTTGCAAAGACTACTTTGGGACATTGGCGAAGTTATTAATTTAACCTTTCCAAGCCAGTGTCATATTGCTGTGTCATCTTGATATAAAAGGCAAGCGAAGTGTAACCTAGCTCATGGGGAATCAGATGAGCTAATTTCCGATCAGTCCTTAGCATGGAGTCGGTGCTGACCCTGCTTATTCCTATGGCGGTCGCCTTTGCGTGGGATGTGGCGTGACACATGCCGTGGCAGCTGTCTCTGCAGACACTGGGTGCCTGAGAACCCTTTACGCAGGGCCCCAGTCTGGGCACAGCTCTGTTCTCTTAAGAGGATGCCAAACTTGCCAGATTGGCCATATGGTTTTTCACCTGACAAGTAACACATACATCACTAGACTCCACGTACCTGCCAAAGAGCACCGAATCACCTGGGATGTCACCCCTTCCATCACAAACTCACAGGAGAAACTCAGACTTGACATAGGTATCCCAGTAGGATGTTAAGGCCATCCATTCATGTCCATTCCTTGGGATCAACCCAGGGCTGGATGGTGTGCCTGAAGTGTCCCCTGGCCTCCTTGAGTAATTGTTTTCCTAAAGCTTGGCTTCCTGAGATGCCATCAGAGCAGATCAAAGGTTGCTGGGACAAAATATCACTATAAAGGTTAATACTATGACAAAGCAGTGGCCAGTGAGAACTCTGAAGTCTACACACTTCTTTGGAGGGGCCCGTGGAAGAGATTGCTATACAGCCTTAACAATTAGCTGTAGCTCTGGGGCGCCTTAAGCGTCTGCCTTCAGCTCAGGTCATGATCTCCAGGGTCCTGGGATCAAACCCCGCATCGGAAAGCCTTTTTCTCCCTCTGTCACTCCCCCTGCTTGTGTTCCTTCTCTCGCTATGTCTCTCTCTGTCAAGTAACAATTAAAAAAACTTCAAAAAAATAAAAAATAATAAATTAGTTGTATCCTTAATCGACTGGTGTTTTAACACGTGGACCCTATGATTTGTGCCATCCCTCGGATTTCCTTGACAGAAGTGTCAGAGCCAAATCTGTGACCTTGTTAAGTAAATGCCCAGGACGTTGTTGTGTGTAGATCTTCTGTAAGACTCACTTTCAGATGGATCCTCTGTTCCACTGTGATGTTTCTGGTTCTGGTTTGCTATTCTCCAACTTGGGTTACTTCCGTGGTCGTGTTTTTTTGCAAATGGCTCTAAGTCCTGTTTGGAACGTGGGGAGGAAACCAACACTCGGCCTGCGGAATCTTCATGGCCTTCTTCACCCAGGGCCTAAATGAGTCCAGAAGGCTCAGCAGTTGTTCTAAAGACAAAGGAACAAACAAGCAGGACTCTACATTCAGAAGAAAAAATGCAGGTTCTGTGGATATTGAGGAGCCCTGTGTTCTGCACCCTTCCTCCAGCAGCAGGAAAGTTCTGGGCTGTAACTCCACTTACTCTAGGTGGGTGATTTCTACCTCAAACAGTGGGGAGATCAGAGCTGAACCAGGCCTGAATGTCCCTAGTGAATCTTGGGAGGAGAGGAGGGAACCTGGTTGTAGGACAGGGCCAGAGGCTATCCGTCCTGTCTGGGAGGGAACCGTGAGAATAGGTCCCCCTTTTTTGAATAGCCTTTCTCCTGCTTGAGTTACCTGGTCGTCTCAGGGCAGCTGGGCACCTAGCTTCTTCAAAGTATCTCCCCAGATGTTCGTGTTAAGCCTTTATTCGAAGTGTGTCTTTGGTGAAGTAATTGACCACACGTGCTAGCGTTTTAGGTCCTCTTGGTTGGTTCCCGGCATATGAAATGCTGTGCACTCTGGGTACTCAGGCATTCATTCAACTGATATTTTCCAAAGCCCCTTCCTGAGCCAAAGGTGGGTTCCCTCATTTCGGTCAATTTCTAGGGTGCTGGAGACTTAAGAGCTCCAACTCGGACGCTTGGCACTCCTGCCAGGCGTGCACGGGGAGGAACACTGGGCTGCCAGACCAGCTTCAAACCCCCATTAGGATCCTGGGGTGCAGTGGAGGAGTTGGGGGCCAGAGTAAAGCAATGGTTTCCCAGCCCTGCCCTTATCCGGCCTTGGGCCTAAGGCGCGGCCAGTTTGCCCGGAGATGATGAAAGTCTGCTCCTAAAGTTGGAGGGACTGAAGGCGAAAATGGGGGGCCCTGGTGCAAATCTGGCTCGACGGAGGCTGGGTCACTGAGTAACTGTGCCTGTCTACGAGGACTGGGTCCGGAGGGACAGCGCAGGGAACGTCCCCCTCGGAAATGAGCTCCTAAGGGCGCCGGCTCCGTTCCCGGACGTCGCCTCTTCTCTCCACCCCGGGCCTCCCCGGTGCGCTTGGACCGACAGAGGCCACCGCCGTCCGCCGCCTCTCCAGCCGGTGGCCGCCTGCGGTCCTCGCCGCGGACTCTTCCTCCCTTCTCCTCGCACGCCGCTCCTCCTCGGCTCCTCCCGATCCCTCCTCCGCCGCCTGGTCCCTCCTCCTTCCAGCCCAGCCTTCCCGGCCCCCGCCCCCGCGAGCTAGACGTCTGGGCAGCCCCCGGCGCGGCACGGCCGTAACAGCCTCCGCCCCCGGCACGGTGTGCACGCCCGCGGTCAGGGCGGCCCGAGCCCGGCGCGAGTCCCGAGCTGGTCCCGAGCGAGCCCCGGCGGCTGCCGCCTCCCAGACCGGACGACAGGCGATCTCCGCGTCCACCCGAGTCCCGCCTCGCCGCCGCGGCCGTCCCCGCGCACGGCCGCCCGACTCGGTCCCGCCTGATTGCGGAGACCCCGAGCCGGCGCTTGGGGGCAACCATGCGACCCTCCGGGACGGCGGGAGCCGCGCTCCTGGTCCTGCTGGCCGCGCACTTCCCGGCGAGTCCGGCGCTGGAGGAGAAGAAAGGTAAGGGCGAGTCCCGCCGGCCCCGCGCTGCCTCCCAACGCGCCCCGACCCGCAGCCGGCCCAGCTTGCGCTCGCGGCACCAGCTCGGCGTCCCGCGCCGCCCGCCCCTCCTTTCCTGTTTCCTTGAGGATCAGCTGCGCCTCTGGCCGGGACCGTGGGAGGAACTGGACGTTTCGTTTCTGGGCTGGGCGAGCGTTGAGGCGGCCCAAGACCGGAGGCTCCGTGCGCGGGGCAGCGGGGCTGCGGGCGGGGTGTGGGAACCACCGGCCGGAGCTCGGCGCCCCGGAGCGCTCGCAACTTTCCGTCCTCACTTTCCTGGCCTCCTGCGCTGGGTCCGCCTACGGAGGCAAGAACTTGGCGCGGGGCGGCTCTGGTTCCCGCAGCGGCGGCTGCTCTGGTTCCCGCACGTGCGCCCCGCGCCTGTCCTCCCGCGGGGCCAGGCCCCGCCCGGGGCGCGCGCCCCAGGCGCTTGGGGAAGCTGCGGAACGACCCCCCGGAATCCGTCTCGCTCACTCCTCGGGCCTCCTGGGACTGGCGGCTTCCCGAGCCGACCCCGCCGCGCGTCCTCCCTGGACCCGGGTCTCGGAGTTGAGCCGGGGCCAGCCCGGGGCAAGGCCTGGGTGCGTCGCAGGACCCTGCAAGACCTTTTCCCAGGTGTGGTGCTGCAGCCCTGAGCTGAGCGGCCCGAAGGTCTCGTGTCTGCCTCTACCTGGGGCCGCGGGGAAGGAAAGGCGTAGTTTCCTCCTAAGCAAAAAAGGGGGTGCGGTCGGGCCCGCCCCTTGGGCGCAGACCCCCAACGCTTGCCCTGCTCTGGGTCCTCGTGCAGGTAGCGGAGGGGGAAACCCATGCTCCTGGCCAGCCAAGAGCTCCCTCCTAGGCGTCCACGCCCCTCGGGCTTGTGGGGTTTCGCTAAATCGTCGCTTCCCGGGAACTTGTGAGATTTGCCCCCACCTGCAGCCCTTTGGTTGAGGATCCTGGCTTTAAGGTGCAGCTGGACCCAGCGGTGGGACCAGCAGCGGCGGGACAGCTGGGTCCTGCAGCCGAACTTCGTAGGGCGGTACCCATCCTGGTCAGGTCCCCACGGTTTGTCAAAAATAAGGCTCACACCAAACTTTCCTACTCAACATCCCGAGATTTTCTCTTTGAGATGTTCCTTTTAGCTCTTTGAAGAGTCTGACTTTGGGCCAACCAGCATTTTAATTTTTTTTTTAAAAAAAAAGGATTGCTGTCCATGGTTCATGGGTGCCAAATGTCCAGACTGAACATGAGCGAGTCTGGCTTCGTGACTACCGGCCATAAACCCACTTGACATGAGAAACATGCCTCAGAAGGTTTAATTACACAATTTCAAAATCAAGCAACCCGGGTTCCAAGAGTCAGGTCTGTACTTGCTGTTGATGTCATTGGCATAGGGAGTCGGGGTTTGGTGCTGAGCGAGTTTGTTAGGGGAACATTAATGCATAAACCAGTGGTTCCCAAACTTTGTTGGATGTAAGAATCGCTTGGGATTTTAACAAAACAAAACAAAACGATATCTGGCTCCCCACCCCAGACATTCTGATTTCATTGGCCTGGGATGAGCCCTGGGCATCGGGGTTTTTGAAAAGCTCCTCTGGTGATTCTGCGGGGCAGCCAGATTTGGGAGTTTTGGAAAGATGACCTGCCAGTGTATGGGACATATAATCTTTTGGAACATCTGGAATGTTAACAATCTTGCAAAATATAGGAAAGAGGAGGTGGGGGGTGATTTCAGTAATAAGAGGTTAGTCTTTTCACTGACAGAGCTGGTGGAAAGCTCTGCGTCCTTTAAGGGGTCTGAAGGGCTCCCCTTCATCTCTGCGGGGAGTCCTAGGGACGGTGGACCTGCTCCTGAATCAGCCGACGGTAGAGTCCTCTTAGGCAGGCGGCATCTCTCCCTCTCTGCTACAGGGGACCCCTTCTGTATTTTAAATTGACTCTTGGAGCACCTCCAAAGCACCACTTTTTTTTTTTTTTTTAAACTCCAGAAGTGTTCACAGCTCTTTGCTATTACCCCTTTGAACACTGCTATTAGTGCCTTGGAGATTTGTTTCTGAGAAAAATATAAATACCACTTAATTTGACTGTCCTGTATTTGCTTCGAACAGAATGCTCCTGAATAAAATTGTGAGAGTAGGCGAACAAATGTCATTCTGTTAGAGTAACGTTAAAAAAAAAAAAAAAAAAAGTTTTAAGGGGTAAATTATTAAAAATGTAGAATGAGATATTTTTATAAAAGGCATTGAAGACCCATGTAAGATTCAGTGTGTTCAAGAAAATTTGCTCATTTTAGAGAGACGTTTTTGGTTCTAAGATATGGTATCTTCCATTCTGATTGCACTTAATACTGTCAAACACTGTTTTAAGTGTCCTTTTAATACTTAGGTTAAGCATATGTAGTGGGTACTCTATTTATAAAATGGGAAACTGAGTACAGAGAAGTAAAGTAACTTACACCTTTAGTAAGAAGCAGAGGCAGGATTCAAACTCAGGCCTTCTCCGCCTGGGGTCCTGCCTCAACCACCTGACTCCACCCCCTTGTGTGAGTTCTGTTTTTGGAAGAGCCAGCTCCGGTGTGTGCAATCACCTCGTGTCCAATGCTGCGAGCCGGGGAGGAAAAGGACCAGGGAACCGGCCCCTTAGACTTGGTCTCGGTGTGAAACTTGTAGCCAGCGTCAGTTTGGTGGTCTAGATCCTTGGTCATTTCCTCATTGGTCGCACTGCTTGCCTTCTGTGGGGGCAGCTCTGTCACCAGAGCACGAGGGAGCCTGGAGATTGCTCGGGGATGGTTAAGCAAGCCCCTCCCTCTTGCAAAATGGAGAGGTCAAGGTGTTATTCTAGAAGAGAGCCTGGGTGGTATTCTGGACAGTGCAGGCATTCTCCAGTGGGGAAGCTGTCCTAGTGCCTCCTCTGAAGACAGTCTCGATTCAGTAGGTCTGGGCTCTATTGATGAGGAATAAAAGAGGATTTTGAATTCTATCCCAGGTGAAGAACCCCTACCCTTTTCTCTCGGGAGTTCAGATGTGAGGATGCCCTGTTCAGTCCTGGCCGGAAGCCAGGAGGTCTGTCTTCTCGTTCCAGCTCTGTGTCGAGGCGATCGTGTCACTTACCAGTTCCAGGCTCCCGCGTCCTCATTTCTAAATCCAAGGAGTATTTATTGAGTGCATAGAATGTGCCAGACATGAATTAAAAGGGGGCAGGGGTGATCTTAGTAGTTTCTACCATTGCTTCCACAGTGGGATTCCTTAAGTCATTAATGAAGTACAGATGATCCTCGATTTACAATGGTTTGTCGTACTTTTTTTTTTTTTTTTTTTTTTTTTTTTGAGATGGTGTGAAAGCAATGCACATTCACTGGAAACTATACTTGAAATTTTAATTTGGCTCTTTTCCCTGGGCTAGTGGTAACATGATACAGTCCTCTCCCGTGATACTGGGTGGGGGCAGCGAGCGGCAGCTCCAGTCAGCCCCGCAGTGACCAGGGTCAACAGCTCACACGCCGACAGCCATCCCGTTTGTCACTTTAAGGACAGAATTCGGCAAACTACATGAGCTGTTCAACACTTCCTATAAAGCAAACTTTGCATTAGGTTTTATCCACCTGTAGGCTAATGTGAGTGTTCTGCATACATTTAAGGTAGGTTAGGGTAAGCTATGGTATTTGCTAGGTTGGGCGTATCCAATGTCTTTTCAACTTAAAATATTTTTAATTTATAATGGGCTTATGGGGACACAACCCCATCATAAATCAAGGAAGGTGCGTGGTAGTAAATTGCTTTCCAGATCTGAAAAGGAGACCCGCGGTCCTTGTATCTGTCATGTACTCAGACCCGTATGGCTCTGTCTAGCAGTAGCTGGTTGATGGCTCCGGTAGGTTTCTGACCATTATTTCTGGCTTTATGCATTTAGTTCATAGTCTCTGATTTTTCAGAAACTCATTCTGAAGTTTGAAGAAGCTGATTGCCAAAATCCATTGTGCTGCTTGATTGGGCTTGGTCCACGTGACAGCGCTAACGTGTTTTGAAATGTTTAAGGGGTAGTGTCAGTGAAGATGAAACAGTCCACCCTGTTTAAAAAGAAAATACTCTTTTTTCCCCCCCTTTGATCTAAGCTTCAGGACCAGCAGCTAGTGTCTGAAACTTTCCTAACAGGAGTGGCAAACCAAGTCCAAGTATTAAATTGATGATTATGAATGTTGAGGGAAGAGAGCCCCAACACTGGAGCCTGAGGCCCCAGAATTAGGATGGGATCAGAATGCTGAAGGACCCACCTGGGAATCATTTGGCCCTTGCCCCATGGCTTGCTGTGAAAGTTGTGTGTTTGTGTGTGTTTCTTTTATTTCTTTTTATTTTTTTTAAAGATTTTATTTATTTATTTGACAGACAGAGATCACAACTAGGCAGAGAGGCAGGCAGAGAGAGAGGAGGAAGCAGGCTCCCTGCTGAGCAGAGAGCCCGGTACAGGGCTCGATCCCAGAACCTGGGATCCTGACCCGAGCTGAAGGCAGAGGCTTAACCCACTGAGCCACCCAGGCGCCCTGTGTGTGTGTGTGTGTGTGTGTGTGTGTGTGTGTGTGTGTGTGTGTGTGTTTTAATTTGGACTTAATACAGTAGAAATGGGCTGATTTAAAGTTAGGTTTTATTAATAGGGGTATGTTTTGAGAAAAGCTCAAAGTTCTAGAATGGCCCACCCAGGCATTGTTCCCACGTATACAATTTCAAAAAACAAGACTCTGCTCCTCAGATCTGTACTGAACTACTTAAGTTTTGTTTTCTTCTGTCACTTTTGGACATTTGAACTTATCCCAAGAAACATTTTTGGCCTCAGTTATCACTCGCTTGTTCTTAAAGCATCAACACACGTAGGGAATAGAATATAAACCTTGTTCTCATGGGCCATTCCTGTTGACATCATAGCTTCTCTCTGTTCCTTCTTTTTCATTTTCCTCCTGAAAGGTTGTCTTTTCCAGACAATCCCAACAG